CAATATATCACCCAATACAATGGTACATTGTATTTCAATCTCACAACACATGAAATATAACCACAGGTGCCTGAGTACAACACTCCATCACAGAATCCAGACAATAGAAATGTACAAAGTTGTCTCAATACAAGAATTGTACAATCACATCACAGGAACAAACATTTTGACTCACTCTACATACAGTTGTGACACAGGATAACAACCACATTAACTTAACATACTGCACTCAGCGGTGTCGAGCACATTCCAATTCGACCTTAACACCTATCCTGAGTACTTCGAGCTGCGCTTGCGCCCTTTCTTGCGGAGCTCTGTCGGTTTCTTGTTATTGTTCTTGTTTCTGTTCCAATGAGTCCTTTCCAACGACGGTATCTGAGGCGGCGTCTCAGCCATCGTTGTCCCTTTCGACACTGTTAATTTTATTTTTTTTATTTATTTACAAATACTGCTGTCTCAGTTTTTGAGACATTGCAGGAGTGGAATACAAATGTTCAAACAGTAAAACAAATTATCAGAATACATGACTACGCAACTCTTTTTCGAATTGCAGAGCATCGAGTCTGCGCAGAGACCCATCAAGCTCATTCCATAGATCCACGGTCCACGGAAAAAAGGAAAACTTAAAGCAGTCGAGACTAGCTCTAAAAGGCGTAATGTTTAAGGGATCAAATCGTCGGGTACGGCGCGCAGAAGCTGCAACAAAAGAAATGGGCGCTAGAACACCCAAGCCTGTGTGAACAGTCTTATGCAGGAGGATGATACGATCGCAAGTGCGCCGATGTTCTAGAGACTGCAGTGATAAAACATGCGCATGCGAAGTAGGCGAGAACCGCTGGTCATAGCGACGAAAAATAAACCTTATTGCTTTCTTCTGAACAGATTCTAACATAGCTATGTCATGTTTATGGTGAGGCGACCAAACAACCGACGCATATTCAAGTATGGGCCTGACCAAGGTCTTGTACGCTGTCAATTTGCATTCTTTTGTCGAGTTGTTTAAAGTGCGTCGGAGATACCAAAGTTTTCGAAGAGCCTTGTTGCAGATTGTTTCGACGTGCGTGCGCCATTTTAAGTTAACGGGTGATAACGTTCAACCGATCCTGTTCGGTTATCCACCCGCTTGTTCATGTCACGACATTGTGCCTGGCTGGCCAACTCCGTCATCTTTACATTGTCGGTCGGTCGAGGTCATGCCGACGTAAGTCCAGCTGCCCAGAACGTGAACTCATTCAACCCCGTCATCTCCTCATTCACTGTCTCTTGTACCCGGGCTTCCCCTTGGACTCGAGTGAAATCCTTCACGGGGGTTTTCTCCACTGTGCCTCGTGGTCCCTGTGTCGGCGGGGGCTCCATCTTCGGGTCTTCCCCCAAAGGTTCTGGATCATTTAGCCCTCGCGCCCGGTCGATGTTTTCGATGACGAGGTCGTACAGGGTGGTCGTCATGCATAGAGCAGTAACCTTCGCGCTAATGTACGGGGTTTCAACCTCAATCTCTGCTTCGGGAAGCATCCGAACCGTACTGTCAATTAGGCAAACCGGTTTCCTTTTGCCTGTTAACTCACATTCCCGTACCAAATTTCTCCGCACGATATCCGTACCAAATTTCTCCGCACGGAGCTACGGGTATCTTTTAACACCGTACCTTCTTGCCCGCAACTTTTCCAGGCAGCGTTGGCATTCCCTTCGTAACACCGGTTGGCTGTTTTGTCATTACAGCACCCACAACAGGAAGTTTCTCCTTATTTTTCAACTCTACGAATCCTTCGGTGGCGGCATTATCATCGGATTTCGGTGCTGCTAGCACACAGGATACCTGAAGAGTTTCACTCACTTCGTTACGACATGCGTCTGCTTTGTGCCCAGTCTGACCACGCTTGAAACATTTTAATACCGTAGGGCACGTAAAGATTGTTCGACAGTTGTTCGCGCGATGACCCACTCGGTTACACAGAAAACATTGCGGAACACTCTCTGGTGCACGCTTTTTTTGTTCCGGTGCCGAATTTTTTGAATCTTCGGGACACTCTTTCTTGACCTTGGCCAAATTAGTGCCACCTTGCGGTTCCAAGAATTAATCAGCTTATTCAAGCATGTCTTCAAGTGACTTAGCTCTCCCCTCTTTCAAGTACAGCCACAGGCTCGGGTGGCAACTACTAAGAAATTGTCCTCTAATTAGGAGCTCTCTAAGCTTATTGTACTCCTGCACAGTCCCTGAAAGTTCAATCCATCTATCAAAATAATGGCAAAGTCGGGTGGCATACTGCGTAGCCGTCGCACCATCAGCTGGCTTTCCTGTCCGAAATCTGTCCCAGAATCCTTCCACAGTAAATCTAAAAGGCTTCAGCAAAGCAGCTTTTACCTTTGCATAGTTGGCTGCATCAGTCGGCGTCAGCTTGCCGTGCACACTGAGTGCTTCGCCACTCAAGCAAGTACTCAAAGCCGTTGCCCATGGATGTTGCGGCCAATTCTGGCTCCTCGCAATCGTCTCAAATCTGTGAAGGTACGCGTCGAGGTCGTCCTTCCTTTGATGAAATGCTACGAGCAGCTTGCTTGGGTTTAAGCGGAAGCCGAGATCCTCCCGTTTGCTGCTTTCAATTCTAGCTTGGACCGGAGTTTCACTTCGCTGTTGCAAACGGAGCCGCTCGAGTTCCATCTCGTGCTGTCGCTGCCGTTCCCTTTCCTCTCTTTCTTTTTTCGCCCTCTAAGCTGCCAGTCTTTCTCTCCCCAGCTCCAACTTCAATTGCTGCTCTCTTTCTTCTCTCGCCCTTCGGCTGCCAGTCTTTCTCTCCCCAGCTCCAACTTCAATTGCTGCTCTCTTTCTTCTCTCGCCCTTCGGCTGCCATCTTTTCTTTCTCCAGCTCCGACTTCAATTGCTGCTCTCTTTCTTCATTCAGCTGTCGCTCCTTTGCCTCTCTTTCTTCTTTCGCCATTTCAGCGGCCAGCCTTTCTCTCTCCAGCTCAGCTACTTTTTTCTTCCTTGGCCCTCTCAGCTGCCCACCTCTCTCGTTCCAACTCAGCTGCTTTTTCTTCCTTGGCCCTCATAGCTGCCAACCTCTCTCGTTCCAACTCAGCTGCTTTTTCTTCTTTGGCTCTCTCAGCTGCCAAAATCTCTCTCCAACGCATCTTTCTCCTTCTGGCTTACCCACTTCCGTAATTCGGCGCCAGAAAGACCCATCTTCTCACCAAGAGCTACTAATTTTTCGAGATCCATGGTGTTTCGCAAATAAAGTCTTGCCGCGTGCTTGCCTAAATTAGTCTATCGAAACACTCCCCTGCACTCGTTAACGAGAACACTGAGCAACACACAAAATTGTTCCGATAGCACTATCAACAACTCGAAGCTCTTTGTCACTACTTTGGACACACTGTGCACCAAAAAGGTCCTGTCGCGGACGCCAGAATAATTGTCACAGGTCCCGTTAATTAGGGAGTTGATCACCGGGCTAATTCTAAGGGCCGAAGGATCGGCGCCCCGAACCGCACCACATAAGCTTAGACAATTCAGAAGTGGTACTACTTGGCGCGCCAGCGGACGCCGGCTGTGGCCCAAAGAACAAGTCAGAGCTGAGAGTTGATAAACAAAACAAAATTATGTTCTTGATTATGGCAGATCAAAACGATACACAAGTATGCAGACTCGACAATAGTTGAATAAAATATGTCACCATTCAAACAACGTACTACACAGTACAATCAGCCACACTCAAAAAAACGGAGACAGACAAAAATACGCACTACAATGCAGTCGCATGCATCGAACAACCAAGACACTTAAAGACTAAAGAGTTAGAAAACTTATTCAGACCAAAGTTCTTGAAACAAAAGTGTGAATGATACTCTTCCGAGAATCACACACTGAAAGACCAGTGTTGTTGTCGCTTTGCTGCCTCCGAAGTTTCTCTTCCAGGAAACCTGGCGTCTTCAATTGCCTGCTCTCCAAGCTTCAAACTTCTTTGCCGGAAGGAAACACGTCAGCTTCCTACACGCAGCTGTTGCCACGCGTCTTCGCTCGATAGTGGTAGACACACACTCTTGCCTGTAGCTCGAGTCTTCACCCCTCAGGTGGAAGTCCCCTTCTTCTCCTCCTTTGTCATGGAAGGCAAAAGGCTTCGCCCACAAGGTGGAACACCCTACGCACTCTGGCGCACACTTTCTTCTTCTCCTGTTTTATCACTAAGGACAAAACCTTCACCGACAGACGTAGCGGAATACCCCACGCACATTGGCGCTAACTTCCTTCTTCTCCTGATCTCCCATCTCGGCGGCTCGATTAAATACCTTCCGCGCGAGATTCCACAGAGTTCTCATCATTTCGTCGGCGCGATACGCAGTGAAGGCTGGGGAAAGGGCGAGACGGTACGAGGGCCGTCCGCGAAAGATGACGCAACCCTGCATCACCACGCCTCTTTCCATCGAGAACTCTCTAGGGCATGCTCGGCCCCCGATGCGAGAAGGTTCATTGGCGATCCTACGCTTCCGAGGGGAGAGGGACGCGCACCCGGGGAGTCTTTGGTTGCTTGTTTTCTTTTTTTTTATCGTTGACCTCTCGGCGCTTCGTCGCGAGTATTTGGCGGCTCGCCCTTTTTTGAGCGCTCGTTTTGTGACAGTGTAATAATTTTATGGTTGATGAAAAATTTGAGCGGACGACCACCACTGTAGCTCAGTTGCCGGAGGTTTAAGCGTACAATTTGTAGGCTGACGCTGTGGTGTTTGTTGTCAGCAAGTTGTCGTTTTGTGCATATTACTTTGTTTCGCATATTTCAAAATTACTACACCGCATTACACTAAATTTTTCGTCTTTTCTTCGTTCCTTGACTTCATTATCTCCTGATTTTCATTAAAGTCGCATTGTACTTACAATTTGTTTCTCTTATATGTGTATTATTGGTAATTGCACAATGAATACCGCAGCTTTTCGAGTGCCTGGCTAAATTAAACATTCAGCTTACACTTTCGCTAGTGTTGATCTTTGTCTTCAGTGTCTTGAAATACTCTTTTCAGCCTTCTCATCCCCCATCTCTGGACAGTGTCGTCTTTGGTCAACCTACGGTAAGTGTTTTATTTTATCAGAAAAACTGCTATGTTACTCTAAAGATGAAGCATGAAACATCTACCCATTAAGCCTCGAAAGATGGGCACATGACAGTGGAGGTGCACAAGAAGAAGAAAAGGAGTTGTGATGAGGTGTGTAGAGGCAGGTGAGACGAAATGCAAACAAAATCATTATTTTCTCGAGGTGGGATAGAAATTTTCGTAGCCATTGTCCGAAGTTTAGACTAAAAAATTCTGAACTCTCTGGGCGTGCTAACAGAAGAAGCATTTACGCGAATGATATTATCGCAATGCTCTCGGGAAGAAAACAATAGAGAAAAAGTGAGAGATAGAATGACGAAGAACTGCAAGGGAGAAAGAAAGCGAATGGCGCTGTGAATAATCATGACTCATATGTAGCATAACAAGGGGATGACAAACGGAAGTGGTAAAATGAGGAGAGAGAAACTAAACGAATAAAGAACCCTTTACAGTGCGGATACAGAGATGCACGAACAGTGCGGTGCCTACAATTTGAGATGGTTAGCGTTTCAATTAAAGCTGCTGTTGACTCAATACCATACAATTCACCCCACTCGTAATACAATCAATGTGCGTATTATCAAGAGTTGGCGCCACCAAGGCCAGATAGTCATGAAAAACAGTGTGCCATCCTTTTTTCCGTTTTCTTCATCCCAAGGTTTTGTACTACGACATGGCAAAACTGTGACAAACGATAGTTAAGGTGCAGATGATCCTGTTGAGAAACCCACTTACGCTGCCCCATTGATAATATATGGTGATGGGACCTGTGCGCCACTGGGTAATTGGAGACACGCTCGCTGCAATATGTTTACTGGACACTTGCGCGCGGAGAACTGCGACACCAACTAAGGGCTATGAGGCCGCTTTTAGGTAGCTTTTGAGCATTCACGTCGTGCCCAGATTGTAATTTTGGTGAAATAGGCGCACTGCGACAAGACAAAGAAAAAACTGAGCCAAACATTATTGATCAGGGTTTGAAGCTATTGTTTTGACTCACCTCACAGTCCGAATGTGACGTTTTACAAAACTAGGGTAACTAAAGTTTGCGTTTTTTTTTTCATAATCTGTAAATTACGTAAGGCCACTTTCCTGTTCTGTTTCGGATTCACAAATATTAGCCCAAGCATACTCGATGACAATCGCCAAAACGGTAAACCTATTTTAGGTTATGAATGTTCATTCAATCAAACCCCTCTCATTGACATGATTATACCAGTAACCCGCAGTTACTACGCTGATGAGAAACACTTGACAGCAGTGCTAAGTTGGTCAGACCTATCGTATTCTGAGTGGTGGGTGGAGAAGAGTGACGAGGTACGCAGTCCTATGCGTCTTTTTCGGAAATGTACGATGCCCACCATAACCGCAGGCATTCCCCCTTTTATAATGGTTATTAGGAGTTAGCTACAGAGGTTCATGGCTGCCAGCATTATTTTATTGCGGACTTATGTTGACTCGCTCAATATCCTCAAGTTCACCTAGACACGCTCGCAACCAGATGTGTCGATGTAAGCGGGCATTGTTTACAGAAATAAGGGGCTGTTTATTAAAAGAGGTTTGTCAAATTTCTGATGGCAGTTACAAGCAGCTTTTATAAAGCCGGAATGGTGACTATTATAAGCGTTCCTGTTAGTGTGGCTCTCAAAGAATATAGCATATTGAGTGACTATGTTACTGTTGACTTTGCAAAGTTGACTTTGCAAAGTAAACAACTGCTGACTTTACGAAGTCAATTTCATCCGTGCTCTGTTGACTTCACTATAAGCTTCATTTTCGGAAGTCAGTTGATATGGCCCTTGAACAGAAATATTTCCTTTAAGGCTTTTGCATACTCATTTACGCAATGGCTGTCTTCTATAACGCAAACATTTATGGATATCTGTTGCATCGAAGCTTCCATTGAACATCTTATGCGTAAGAATGATTGTTCTACATTATCGAATACACGACAACGAGCTTGGTGCCCAATCCTAATATTGCAGTTGCGTAGTGTGACATCCTCAAGACGTTTCCTGATTCCCTTGTGGCCTGGTCTTTGTACTCGCAAGAGTTCATGTTCCTTCAGCGAAATCATCTTCGCGAAAGATGGCTGGCAGATGTAATGTCATTTATGCACACACCTGAGAAAGAGAAAGAAGTAGATGCGAAAAACAGAATATATTGCAGACGTGTGTGATTCAAAACAGTAGCATGGAAAGGCAGCAAAAACTTTCGCATACTCCGTAAGCTAGTAAGGATAGTGTTTTGGTAAAAGAAAAAAATCAGGAAACGTGCTTATTTGATAACGCTGAAGAGTATCGTGCGTAGCATCGAGGTCAGGGGGCAGTGGGTCAAATCTTTTCAGGCCTGATAAAGTGAAATATGTATAGTGTGGCTTAACGGGATTCGGGGGAAGTGCCTGCTTGTGTTGTTTATTCTAACTTTGCAGAAAGGTTACTACTATTTAGGTCTTCTCTTCATTCTTTGACTTCATTATCTGCAGATTTTCATTGAAGTTACATAGCACCTATGATTTGTTTCAGTTGTACCTATAGTATTGGTAGTTGCACAATTACTACTGCTGCTTTTCAAGTGCCTGGCTAAAATAAACATCCAGCTTACATTGCCGGTAGTGTTCATCTGTACCTTCATATATCTTGCAATGCTCTTTTCAGCCTTCCAATCCCCTGTCTCTGGACAGTGTCGTCTTCGGTCATCCTGTGGTAAGTGTTTTATGTTACTAGAAAATTGCTATCTTCTGGGTAAAAAGACAGCATCAGACATCATTCTGCAGGCACGTATGACTAAAAAAAGAGCGTGGAAAGGCAGCAAAGACTTTCGCTTACTCAGTAAGCTAGAAAAAAAAACAGTTTTGGTAAAACAAAAAAACAAGCGGGAAACGTGCTTATTCGGACTAGCTGAAGACTATCGTGCGTGGTGTCGAGGTCAGGGGGTAGTTGGTCAAACCTTTTTGGTCCTGATAAAGTGAAATATGTTTAGTGTGGTTTAGCAGAACTCGGGGGAGGGCTTGCTTGTGTTGTTTATCCTAACTTTGCTGAAAGGTCCACTAATAACCTGAATTTACATGAACTTTTCCATCGTTTCCTCTTCTATGGCGATGGGGGTGACTGTTCATGCACCTGCGCAGTCCTGCCAGGCTGCAGCAACAGGGGTCTTTTACATAGTTTAACCATCTGTAGCATCTGCTGAACATGGATATTTTGGGCGCATGTGCGTGCGAACCGTAATATGAGTATGCCGAAAGTTTTGTAAAAAAGAATCCACCTTTGCAGCACGTCGCAATGCTGGCTCCTGAAAATGTTAACACACATCATTATAATATTGCAAAGCGCACCTTTATTCCATCAAAACTCTTTAGCTGCCCACGCTCAGCTTTAGTGCGCAGCAGCAGGTGTCCTTACCTTTGAGGCTACCGTTGATGATTGAGGTGGTGGTGCTGACCATAGACGCAAAAAACGTGGCCCTTTTTCATGTGCTCTCTCTGAACACTGCCCCGCCGAGATGTCCTAGTCGCTAAGGTACTCGGATGCTGACACGCAGGTCGAGGGATTGAATCCAGGCTGCTTCAGCTGCAGTTTCAATGGAGGCGAAAATGCTGTCGGCTCGTCTGCTCAAGTGCGGGCGCACGCTAAAAAACTGCAGGTTGTCAAAATTTCCGAATCCCTCCACTACGGCGTCGCTCATAATCATATGATCGTTTTCGGACGCTACACCCCACCTATCAATCATCATCATCATGAAACCTCTTAAGACTGAGAATTTCAATGGCATTCTCGTCAAGCTGTGATAATATTTTCCACTCATCGCAAACGGGAAGTGTCCATAAGCGTGTGCATAGGCTCTACTCACGAATTACAAAGACACCATTATTAATTATCTGGAGACGACACATTGAACGTGGGAACCTAATTATTTTGATTGTTCACAACGTTTTTTTTATTTTGTTATATAGTTATCGTAAAGTTTTGTATATTTGCTTCACTGCGTTTTTTTCCTCAAGTATCGTGTTTTACTCGTTGCAGCGTTCACCTTCTTCATCACCTGGAAGATCCGGTGCTGGTCCCAACCGGGCAAGTGTTTTTTTGTCAGGAGGTAGTTTTTTTATTGGAAAAGCTGTTATAAGACCAAAAATATTGTCGCGCACGGCGCCGTAGTTGTCTACCACCGCAACCACTGCCACCGTCTGTAACCAATATCTCACGAAATAGGAAAAAACCCAGTACCAAGGACACAGTAGAGCTCAAACCCGGGTCCGCTGTGTGCAAGCGCAGTATCTTCCACGAAGCAATGCTGGTGCTGGCGTCACACAATGCGAAGAGCATAATGAGTGGGTCGTCCAATGCTCCAACCCATTGCAACAGCTTGTTCTTGATCACTTATAATTGCTCCACATACCGCTTCAGGCATAATTCCTCGTCGACACCAGCCAATACATGAACAATTGGCACAAATGCCTTGCCAGGGTTCAGCGGATACCAAGCTTCTCCGATGACGATAGTTATAGCGCGAGAACAAAACGACGACACAGAGACGAGAAGGACACGAAAGACACGAGCGCTCGTGTCTTTCGTGTCCTTCTTGTCTCTGTGTCGTCGTTTTGTTCTCGCGCTATAACTATCGTCATGCCATACCAACTAGCCCAAGCTGCCACACTTCTCCGATGAATGACGAAAGATAGCATGGTGAATGCCAGCCTACTACTTATAAATTATAAATAATAATGACATAGGGGGTACCCAACCAGTGTGCTTTTAGTGGTTACCCAAAGTGTTTTCAGAAAGGGCTCAAAAAGCCCAGTCTTCCGCTTTCACTGTGACTATGCTGCGCGTTCCACACAGACCTGTTTTTTTATTTTCTTCGTTCCAAGCTCATGCGCTAGTGCTCCACCACCATACAAGCTGAAGCACGCTTTATTTAGAGAATAAACAGCGGAAGAAAACATGACCATTTGGTGTGAAAAGAAACGAGAAGCGATGACACTCAGTGAGCGCTTCCTATGTGTGTTGTCTTCTCTCAGCCATGCATTTTTACGCAGCTTTGGTCTGGTATTAATGATTAACTTACTACGTCTGCTATACAGCAGACTTCATTATCAACGAATAATAATTGCGCGATAACACTTTTGCAGGTGTGAGATTCTTTGTCTCCTCTCGTGGCTCTTCAGTAATTTTCAGCAAAAAAAACAAGTTCCGAAAACAGCTATGTTCACTAACCCAAGGCTGACAAATTATCTGAAAAGGCAAACGAATCGCAATGCTCATAATAAAAGGCTACGGCTAGTCATATAATTAGTGACCTATAAAAACAGGATATGCCTAAAAAGCATGACAAAAAATTATTCTGGATCTTATTTGCACAGTCGCTGACAATCTTTAGTGAAGCGTGCATGCTTCCTCAAAAAACGAGTAGAAGAAACAAAAAACTTGTGTCTTGTGTTAATGTCGGTGTGTGGCAGTCAGTCTGCTAATTCTTACTTCTATATGGTAGAATTTAAGTCCAAACCTTTTTTATATAGGACACCCGAATTACAAGCGGTAGGAAAAAAATAAACAAGCCACCAAGATCTACAAAGACGGGTAGCGTAACGCTGTAGAGTCATTTTACGTACGAGCTATGCGTCTGACGAAACATTACCTGCAAGCCAAAAAAAGCAGTAGACTAAGAAAATCAATTCCACGCGGCACTGCGTTATGTATCGTGCATCTATTCTTGTCTTTGTAGTATTGTTCGTGTTATTCCATTTATGGTATGATGATGAATAAACTTTATTTTCGTATCCGACATGTTTGTGGTCTGGGCTAGACTGCACAAGGTTGTACCGCGAGACCTTGTCACGAATATATTCATTATTTGCGGTCATTACCTCACGTGCGCATATTTTCTAAATAACAGCTCTACACTCTTCAGCTTGGATGGTCCTGAAGGCATGAATCAAGTAGTTCACATTGCGCAGTAGTTTATTCTTATGGATGCTATGTAATCTGTGGTGTTTAGGAAAGTTTTGTCAGTGCCACATGCGCCTGTTTCCATTACTTGAATGTGATCCATGTTCGTTCTCGAAAACTGGTTGGTACATCCCATCGCTGGCTGGCGCGACGATGTTTAGAAAATTGGAAATTGCCCCAGACAGCCTTGTTTAGAATACGCGCTTGATATGACTGTGTTTTCAGTAGAGCTTACCCAAATCTCAGTGATAATACTGGTAGGATGGGTTGTCTATATTATAAAAGCTTAGATGTTTTGGAAAAAAATGGAAGCACGGATCGTGGTCTGGGCTAGGCGTTACTATTCTACAGGCACTTTTGCCTGTTGTTTGTCTTTTAGTCTTGTTGGGCCCAAGTATGGCAAATTAAGCAGTGTCATCTTTACCGGTTGGCATTTCATGCCTATCGGCATCAAATCAGCATCACAGTCTTGTTACGCGCAACAGCGCATAAACCGAGCATGAGGCGAGATAAGTGTATTGAAAGTGACTATTTATTATGGTTGTCATAAAAATTATGAATATATACACCAGCGCAACAGCAAGTCATTATTTCAAAAAAATTTTGTCAGTGTAGAAAATTTGGTTAAAATCAACGCTGATGACTTTGTTGCAAAACTTTCAATTGAACTATCTGTTTACGTGACATCCTTAGTTTATGGCAGCAGAAAATTCTTAGCCGCAAGAGCGATTGCTGAAGTTCCTATGACAAATGTTATGTAGAGTACTTATTAAAAAAAGAATCTTAAGAAAACAATATACTGTAGGTCGAGATTTACTTCAATCAATAGCGTAGTTCAGTTAACCAAACTCGTTTTCAATTTTTCCTTGTCGTAAACCACAGCGTCAATGAAGTACACATAGTGCCTCCAGGAGTGTTGAAGGTACCACGCTTCACATATAATAACAAATAATGATTAGTTGAATGTTTCCAAGCTTCGCAAAAATATTACCTTATAACCTAGTAGTACTTGGCAAATGTACTCGTACTAGTTCCCTAGGGACCTCCAGAGGCGCGCGTGATCACTTTCTTCAGAACGTCAACGAACTCTCTACCTCTTGTTAACGCTTGAAGTATAACCTGGTAAGAGAGTAAAATAATAGGCGTGCTTACGCACTAGAACTTATTGCTAGTGGCTAGTTCAATTCTTCGAACCAATCGCAAAGGTTAAGTCATAGTATTCATCCCTATCAGCCATTAAATCTCCAAAATATCAATAACGCTTTGCAGATGTGCACGTATTTACATATTGACGAATAATGGCGCACTGCGTGCTTTCTAACTAAATAAAAATTGCGGTCATTTAGAGGTACGCTAAAGAGCAAAACAAATTTTTGCATATTAGTTGAGTTTCAGTTAACGAACCCGTAAACGCTTCTCTTACCAACACAAGACGCTTTGTAAACGAGAAAACAAGCAAGAAACACCCGTTGGAGACGCCACCATTAAACTCCCCCACCAAAGACCATGACGTTGTAAATTACGAAGGCGCCTGCTGGGTCCTACATATTTTCTACTCAATAAAAATGAAGTAGATTGTCGTGTGTGTCTTCCCTAGACCTTGCTTACAAAGTTGCAGAGAACTTCACTGCGAAGATGTTGAAAAAATACGTTAAAGCCTTTTAAAAAATACGACACACGACGCACGAAAATACGATGCACGGAGACTTCAGAGAGAAATTTTAAAATGAAACTTCAACGTTTGTTTTCTACAGAAATAATGAACTTATGACAGCGAAACATGTGGCATTGGAGCTCTCTGAGTGCAATTCAATAATCTAGACTAAGTCTGAGTTTTTCTTTATTGTTCTTTTAAGTGTTCCATATAAGCAGTTCCAAGAGAGTTTGCAGTGTATTATAGATACGCCGTTCTTTCAGCTTTCACAGTGACTATGCTGCATTTGCCGACAGGACACCAGGCTGACCAATCATATGAACTTCAATAAGCAAGGTCTGCACCTTGCTCACAAAGCTGCGGGAAGAAACTGCAGGCAAAATCTGAAACCATCTCCATCTTCTTTCTACGTGCAGAATTACCGTATGCAACAAGAGCAGCAACAGGAGTCAAAGCTCATTGGATCCGCACAGGAAACTCAGCAACGTGATCTGTGGTTTTCTAACTTAGCTAAAATGAAAAAAAAAACATTGGGAGCGTACTTCGATGTTTCTGCGTTTAGATCTCACCGATAAAAACAGAAATAGCAGTGAATCACCGCAACTCCACGCTATTAGACTGGTCGTCTGAAGCCATGTCATGTCATCTCACATCATTAGGCTGCATAGGCTTGTATATCAGAGTTATATGTATTATCAAATAGCCAAGAAGCAGAACAAGGGTCAGCGTGAACAAGAGGTGATAGCGTGCAGCGCAGTGTGATGTGATTGCGCGCGTTTAAAAAGTGCGCCACTCCATCAGCCGGAAGCTGATGAAGATAACGTTCGGTTGCGGCACGTGTGGGCGTGAACATTTTGGTCCAATGAGGTCCCTCCACGGAGATTTAGAAGAGCCACTTGAGAAGAACGGCGAGGCTATATGCAGACGTGGCCGAATCGGGACCGAGTGAAGAAGGTGGCCAGGGCGCGGGAGCGGCGGCCAGCAGAACTCCTGCATCAAGGTCCCTGGGGGCTCCCACCTGGACACAGAGCTTCTTCTCGTCCCCTGACGCAGGCCACGCTGGTTCTGGTCTTTTGGCGTTAGGCAAGAAACGTCTCCGGCTTCGTGTGCGAGCTGCGGCTGCCGAACCCCGAAAGGTCACTGACTTTGACCAGCCCGACGCTTCCTGCTGTGCCAGTCAACCACGTGAGCGTCTCAAGCTAATCGCCGTTCTTTCCCCTGCTGCACGAGTGCATCTTTACCATTACTCGGTGGCATCAGTTGCAATTCCCGCATCACCGCTATTATAGTTTGTGTGAGTTTGCCTATGCCTTCGTAGCACAGCTTTCGCTGCAAGCACCGCGTCCCTCTTTGTTATGAGAAGGCTTAATTTCCTCTGAACATTTTATGTCCATGCACTGTTCATGTCTTTAGCCGTTTGTTCTTCTTGCTAACCTCTTTCTAGTTATGTATGCCATGTTCTTTGTCTGCT